GGTCATTGAACCAGGTTTTGGTGCTTTTGGCAGTGTGTGCCTCTCCATTCTTCCTCCAGACTCTGGGTCCTTGGTTCCCAAATGAGATGCAAAAGTTGCTTTCATCAGAAAAGAGGACTTTGGACCACTAAGCAACAGACCAGTTCTGTTTTTCTTTAGCCCAGGTAAGACGCTTCTGATGTTGTTTGTTGTTCAGGAGCGGCTTGACAAGAGGAATACGACATTTGCATCATTACATGCAAAACAAGATAGTTCAAGCCGTGATGTGTCATAAGTAAGATGATTATGGCTTACAGCTCATGAAAACCCCAAATCAGAAGCGTCTTACCTGGGCTAAAGAAAAACAGAACTGGTCTGTTGCTTAGTGGTATTCAGCCGGTAGATGGCAGTATTTATACGTCTGGATCTATGCCAGTGGTGGCGAACCTATGGCACGGGTGCCAGAGGCGGCACTTAGAGCCCTCTCTGTGGGCACGCACCCCGTCGCCCCAGTCCTAGGCCTTCAGCTGGGTTTTATAAAACCTTTTCGCTTTAGGCCTCTGCGGTTCAATCAATCAGTCAATTTCAACTTCTTGCGGGGAAAAAAAGATCTTGCAAAGTTGGAATTGATTGATTGATTGAACTTTTTAGTCCCACCCAGTCTGCTGTTACCACCGCAGCCACGCCACCCAATGGGCCACAACCACCCGGCACCCGACGATGCATAAGTGGGTTTTGGGTTGCAGTTTGGTCACTCGGTCTCTAAAAGGTTCGCCATCACTGATCTATGCTATGTACTCTATGCTCTTTTGTTCTAAGTAGAGTTTACTGTTTCCTTTTACAGTTATATAGTTGAGCAGTAAAGCACATGGTGACTGTACTCTTTGTTTGCTCTGTATGATGCTTTATATAAACAGAATTTTTAACACCCTCTCAATCAGCTGGGCATATGAGAAGGACGATGCCCACCTTTTCATGGAGGAAAGGTTGTTAACAGTCTCAAGAACCATTAGAAAAAAGGTTGTTACTAGTACAATACAGTCAGAGGACTCCGGTGCTGTGTAACCAGCCACACAGCATATTGGCACCAACATTTGCCTTCATTTCACCAATAGCAGGGCAGAACACCAAAAGCATCCATCCAAGCCCTTCCTAATAGTTTTTCTCCAGGGCTCACAAGAAGAAATGGAGCAAAAATAAAAATTGGTGTTGGAAGGCGTAGTTCTCTAACTTTGTATTTGGTAACCCAATCAAAAGGAAACCTGCTTATTCAAAATGCACCATTTCCCAAATTTTTCCACCTGGTCCACCGGTTGTACACACCACCCACCTACGCATTGACCCACAATATCATTAGCATTGTTATTATGATTATTATCAGTCGGAATCAATTCACTGTGGGATGAAGACCTTTCAACCATTCGGTTTGGTCAAGGCAGGTTAGTAGATGGCTATATTTGTTTACAGGTAGTCGTCGACTTACGACCACAGTTGAGCCCAAAATTTCTGTTGTTAAGTGACATGTTTGTTAAGTGACCTTGGGACACGGCAGCAGTCATAAATACGACCCACTTGCCAAGCATCTGAATTTTGATCACATGATCTTGGGAAAGCTGCAAAGGTCGTAACTGTGAAACATTGTCATAAGTCATATTTTCAGTGCCCTTGTAATTTTGAATGGTCACTAAAACGAACTGTTGTAAGTCGAGGACTACCTGTATTTGCCCGTCTATGGCTGAGAGAGTGGGAGTAAGCCTGAGTCACACAGGGAGCTTCTGTGGCTGAGGGGTCTAGAACCCGGGCCGCCCTACTCCTAGTCCAGCACCTTCCCTTCCACCCCAAAGTGACTCTTGGGCTGAGAGAGAGACTGGCTCAGAGTCACCCAAGGAACTTCAATGTTGAGAAGAGTCCTGGATCTTCCTACTCCTAGCTGAACACTCTATTACTACACAATGTTGGCTGTTGGGCTGAGAGAAAAAGATTGTCCCAGAGTCACCCATTCAACTCCCATGGCTGAGAATGACTGTGAACTTGGGTCTCCCTGCTCCTATTCCAGGGGTAAGCAACCTTGGCTCTTTTATGACTGGTGGACTTCAACTCCCAGAATTCCTGAGCCAGCATGGCTCAGCTTGGAAACCTCTCCCTTTCCCCTCAGCACGGCTGGCTCAGGAATTCTGGGAGTTGAAGTCCACGAGTCATAAAAGAGCCAAGGTGGCCTACCCCTGTCCTAGTCCAACCCATCACCCCTACTCCATGTTGGTTCATAAGAGAGGAAACACGTCAGGCTCGGAGTCCCCCAGGAAGCTACAACCTAGGTCTCCCTACTCCTCATCCAGGGCCTTCACCACACCTCCTCACTGACTCCCTGGCTCAATATCACCCAAGGAGTGTCTACGCTGGGTCTCCCCATTCCTAGTCCAGCACCTTCACCACCACCACCCCACACTGGCTGTTGAGCAGAGAGGGAAGAACTGGCCCAACGTCACTCGGGGAGCTGCTGTGGCTGAGAATGGATGGGAACCTGTTTCTAGGTCTGTGTCAGAGAGCTTTGTGGTAGTCCACAAACATTTGGCAGCTCCCTGCCTCTGGAATCCAGCTTCTGTGATTCAAGACAGGTAACAGTTGAGCAATTTCCCCCTCGAGATCCGTATAAATAAACCCTCTATTGTCAAAAGGTGTCATTGCGGTATCACAACATAAGGGATGGAACTGAATGCCAAGTGGTTTTACAAAGCAGATGTAGGTTACGCTGTTGATGGACTGCTTTCTGGGGTTGCAAAAGCTTTTTTTATTATTAGTAAAATCAGTTTGTATGCTGCTGATGGTTAACTCTTGACTCCCACCTCATGGATGGCTTCCAAGAGAGGAACACAAAACTGCCCATCTAGCCAAATACAGGTAGTCCTCGACCTTAACGACCACAACTGACCCCAAAATTTATGTCGCTAGGTGAGACAGTTGTTAAGTGAGTGTGGCCCCCATTTTGCAACCTTTCTTGCCACAATTGTTAAGTGAATCCCTGCAGTTGTTAAGCTAGTCACACGGTTGTTAAGTGAATCTGGCTTCCCCCTTTGCTTGTCAGAAGGTCGCAAAAGGGGATCACGTGACCCCGGGACGCTGCAACTGTCATAAATATGAGTCAATTGCCAAGTATCCAAATTTTGCTCAGGTGACCTAGTGCAGGGGTAGGCAACCTTGGCTCTTTTATGACTCGTGGACTTCAACTCCCAGAATTCCTGAGCCAGCATGGCTCAGCTTGGAAACCTCTCCCTCAGCATGGCTGGCTCGGGAATTCTGGGAGTTGAAGTCCACAAGTCATGAAGGGGCCATAGTTTCCCCATGCTGGCTCAGGAATTCTGGGAGTTGAAGTCCACGAGTCATAAAAGAGCCAAGGTTGCCTACCCCTGGTCTAGGAGGCTCACTGCTTAGAACAGGAGGACTTAGGACAGGGGTAGGCCACCTTGGCCCTTTTATGACTCGTGGACTTCAACTCCCAGAATTCCTGAGCCAGCCATGCTGAGGGGAAAGGGAGAGGTTTCCATGCTGAGCCAGGCTGGCTCAGGAATTCTGGGAGTTGAAGTCCAGGAGTCATAAAAGAGCCAAGGTTGCCTAACCCTGACCTAGAGGATGCTGCAACCGTTGCAAGTGTGAAAAACGCTCATAAGTCACTTTGTTCAGTGACATTGTAACTTCAAACGGTCACTAAATGAACTGTTGTAAATCGAGGACTAGCTGTGAAATCTAGCTGTGGATGCGGGCTTCGCTTTACATTTAGACCAATTTCAGCTGCATGGGCAACTGGGGCTCAATATTCCTCCAGCAGCCCAGTGTTTATTGCAATAGCTTTTCTGCTTTTATTACATGATTTTTGAACGTGTGATGTTTTTTTAACCCTTTTATTGCCGACAATAAATAGGGAACTGCTCCATTTCTTAAGAAACAGATAAAACGATGAAAAGAAAAAGAAAGGAGAGCAAGAGTAAAGAAACATAAGAAATAACCTACTACTTAAAATATATATCCCTAGGCTAATATATATATATTTATTTCCTCAATTTCTTATTCTTTTTAACCATAATTAAGAATATATTTAATCTTTAATCTTTAAACATTCCATTCAATACCTCTAGTCATCTAGTCCTTTGACTCTTATTCAAAACATTTTCTTTTCATCATTGTCTTAAATTCAGTCACATTTAAGTATTTAAAACATTTCCTTTATTTAAATCATTTCAACTTTTTCGGAAGTAGCAGAGAAGCCCTAGGCCAGGGGTCTGCAACCTTGACAGCTTTAAGACTTGTGAACTTATTGTAATTATTATAATTAATTAGTATTAAGCATTGTTAAGTAGTGAAATGAATGAGATTTATTGATTAATTTCTTATTTACATGATTATATTTAAAGTTGTTTAATAATAGAGTAATTATTAAGATTTAATATGTATACCTGGACTGGTAGACTTGCGAGAAGCGATGTTATTTTGTGGGATTAATCCCACTTTTGTGTTATCCCTTTTCCCTGGTCTAAACTTTTTGTATGTTTCCCTTTGTCTTATCCTTTTTGACCCTATTCCTTTATTACCCTTATAAAACTCAATAA